CCGTGCTAAAGACACTTGCAACTGATTCGTTAAAAAGATACAAGATTTAGACTCCATCATTTTTCTCGAAAACTATTACTCAAAGACACTTATACCTTCTTTGAATTGTATATGGTGTCAGAAACTTTCCACGTGAGGCCATCCTAAACGTACATGATATCGTGAACTACATAGCATTTGCGAAACTTCTTTTGTTTATAACTTTTTAATAAACAACGAGCGCCGGCTAAATCCTTCTGAGCGTTACTCAGGAGGGTAACCTTGACAACATATGTCAAGCCCAAGGTTATTGGAGGTGGGTGTGTTAATCTAAATAATTACCCTTGTAACTATGAATCAATAAGTATTCACTGTTTTCAACGATAATTCACTGATTGACTTTTAGAGAGTACCGTTTATCACGCGTGAGATGCGTTATCCAGCAACAACCAGTGTTACCACGATAATTCAAAGTTCGATTACGATTTCTGGTATTTTAATCTTCGAATGCGGGGAGACGAGCGATAGATAAATTCTATTATTTCTAATCTGGTGAATCTGTCCACTGTCGAACAGTGCTATCTGCGCTCAGCTTAGGAAAAGGTATTTAGGACAAGGGTATCGGTCGGCGACTCATTGATTTTAAGGGGCCGGTCGTTAAGAGTGCACCGTCCGTGCAGGCGAGAAACATTTCCGCTGTTTCACCACTTTGCTCTAATTACTTACTTAATTACTTGGCTATCTTATCTCGAGACACTCACATGGTGACCAACGAATTCTGCTTCGACTTGAAATCCTTGCAGGTAGCCTGCACGATGTCGGGTTGAAACTGCGGGGATCCAGACTTGAAGTCCAGCTCGTGCGTCTTCCTCGCGTTTGAACTTTCGTTCGTCTGACAATGAGAAAATGAGAAGAGTGACGCGTAAGATCGTAGAAGTCGGACTTGTGTTAGCAGGGATGCATTTACCGATCCCGCCCAGACAAGTGTATATTAATATCCTTATTGCACTTTGTTACGCACAAATTTATTATCGTGACGGTTTTCCGAAAGTTCCTAGCAGTTTCTGATATCAAAACTATTGTCTTTCTATTAAAATCGGCCTGACATCGCTAGTTTTAATTGATATAAAAATCGAGTTTAAATAAAATGAACCTTGTGGTCAATTCTGTATCTTAAACACTAGAGTGCAACGCTAAAAGTGAGTAGCCTTGTCTATTTCTAACTGTTCTCTTAAAAGGAGGCAAAGTCGCTCACTTTTAGCATTTTTGATGAAACTTGTTTATTATTAAAAAAATGCAATGCCAAATTGAAAACTGCTATACGAAATATGTACTCTAGCTATTTTCTAACGATTGTCGCTTATTTTTTAATAATTTTCCAGCTGGAAAACTAAAGTAGCTACTTTTTAACAATTATTAAATGCTGCTGAACGATGAACGCGTTTTTCTCGAAGGGTCGATCTTCGTAATCCAGGCCTCTTTGACGAAAGAAACGTACAAAACACAATTATACAGCTTACCAGGTCGACATTGCGCGGCTCGTACTTCTTTTCGTGGTCGAGATTCACTATGCAAGGTGGACTCGCCATTGCGGGAACGAACGATTCACTATTTCGTTTCGAGGAGACTGGCCTCTTCGGTAGAGCTAGGGTCGTGTTGTAACCGGCGCTGTCTACGCTCCCATATCTAGATAAGGTAACGGAAGATATGTAAACAATCACGTGCCTAGTCCTCTTTGCGACCCCCCTGGTTTTCTCCAAACATCGTTTAACATTGCTCTCATTGTCAGTTGAATTCATCCTTTGTCTCTTTCTAACTGTTCCTTTAGAAGGACAAAAATTAATTAAGGGGTTACAACATTCTAGAATCCAAAAAGGCCAATTTTCAGGGATTTTTTTCAGGAATATAATAAACGTAAATGAAAATCTGTTTATTCCTATTTATTCTCTATACATTGAAGTATAAAAAACATTTTTTACGACTTTTTCCTCAACGAAATGGCGGCGCCAGAGCTTTGGATCTAAAGTGTGGAATTTAAGTGCAACTTTCTTTTTCAACGCGCATTATTTTTACAAAAAAACGGTATTACGCAAAATCCGTACGTAGTTCGAAAGAAAATATTATATATTTTCAAAAATCTTTGATCTTTTGTTCTAGCTCAAATGGTGAGGGAGCTTTGTTTCCGCCCGTGGGGCGACTTTCGCAAAGAGGTACTATGGATCCATGGCTCTGGCGCCGCCATTTTGTTGAGGAAAAATTGATAAAAAATTCTGTTTTACACTTTAATGCATAGAGAACATAAGAGTTAAACAGATTTTCATTTGTGTATATTATATTCCTGAAAAAAATCACCGAAAATTGGCTTGGGGGAAGGGGTTGTAACCCCTTAAGAAACGTCTACATTGGAAGTAGGTAGTAAGAAGTAAGAAAACGTAACCTGTACCTTTCAGTGTAAAAGCTAAAGTACAGGCGTAAATTTTTTAAATATTTGTAGCACTGGTCGAACTGCGCTCTAATTCGCCGAGAGTAAAGGCCTGTGTCCACGATGCCAGAACTTGGACCAAGTTCTTGGATTGAGAAATTTGTAACCAATCAATTTGTAGCTTTTACGGAAAAGCGGCAATTTTATTGGCTACACGTTTCTCGGACCAAGGACTTGGACCAAGTTCTAGCATCGTGGACATTGGGCTTAAGCGTCAGAGCTGAAGTAGGAGTAAGAAATGGGAATGATTCATTTCTTTACTCCTACTCTTACTTCTTGCGCCAGGCTTACTTCATCTATTGTAGACGATCCTTTAAACCAATTGAGGATCAAAGTTAGACGTTGGTGAAAAGCGAGGCAAGTGACACAAACATAATTGGTGCACGTCACTTCATTACATCCGCAATTATTTACTCTCTAAAAGTCGATCAGTGGATTATCACTGAAAACAGTGAACAGCACAAAGGTGAACGTAAGTCCGTAGAAATTTAATTTTCACGAAAACACCTGTAGAATTAGAAAACTGAATATCTGAAGAATCCTTTCAGAATCGGCCACAATCGGCTCGTTTTGAAGTATTCCTCAGAGATGCATTATCGTGCGTGTAACTTCCCCCAATCATTCGTATTGTATTCTTCTATGGATTCCTGAAGAATTACAATTCATAAAGGGGGAAAACTTTAAAAATACTTTGCGTTTTCACTGTGTTATCCGGGCAGTCACTGTTTCGCAGTTCTAAGTATACCACTGTGATTTCCAGTGATAATCCACTGATTGACTTTCAGAGAGGACGCGAAGGCCTGCGTTCACGATGCGAGAACTTGGTCCAAGTTCTAGTTTCGAGAAATGTGTTGCCGATCAACTCGCAGCTATTCCGTAAAGGCTGCAAGTTGATTGGCTACACATGTCTCGGGACTTGGACCAAGTTCTAGCATCGTGGACACAGGCCTTTACGAATTACGCGATCAATTAGCCACGTATCGAAAGTACAATACAATCTCCCTCGCGGATGCGTCTCGTGCACGTCTTACATGAAAGAGCAGCTGGCCGGGCTCGGGTCCAGGTCGCTCGTCTCCGAATCGCCGAATATCGCCGGCTCCGGACTCGTGCGGGACTCCGACGAGATCAGCGGCGTGCTCTCGGAACCGCTGTCCCGCGTCAGCGAGGAATCGCTGCCTGGGTAAACACGGGACTTATACATAATGTCTCTGAAGCCGGCGGGAAAAGAAAAACGAAATGTCGCTGTAACGAGGAAAAGTCTTTCTTTCCTTTTAACGTTTTCCTCGGTGGCCTCCTCGAGAGCGCGACGGCTCCTCGGGCGAGTCGGAGTCTAAGACGGGACGGATGATGCGCGCGAGTACTCACTCCGGGAGGCACACGAGGCGCGAACGACAAGCGCGCGTTCTACGTCGCATTGAACTACGTAATCATGCTCGAGAGAGAGAGAGATTTCCTCCCGCGTAGTCTTTTTTTCCCCCCTTGCTCTTCCTTTTTCCCCCCTTCGACGCGAAACTGTATCGAAACGCCGTGTATCACCCCGCGAGGTGCGAGCGCCAGATAGCGTATTCAATAACTGCTTCTTACGACACGCACATGCGGTCTTATCGACACGATAAATGTGTCTTCCCGCGGTCCAAATTAGCCGATTAGCCGCGCGGGATCGCGCGAAAAGTTATCGGCGACAGTTTTTAGCATGATAATCCGCTAATCGGCCTGCCACCCGCGGCGCCCGCCGTCGCGCGCGCGAAACTGAAGGATTTCCAACGATTCAAACTCACTATCTTCTCCTTCTTCTTTTTCTTCTTCTTCTTCTTCTTCTTCTACTCCCGCTAACGCGATCGACCCGGGCCTGGTCCCTGTGACGTAGACTGGACGGCCGGCGATCGGGGGATCTCGGGGGCGAGACCCTCGGCTATACCGATCGCGCGAACCCTAGTCTGGAAAACTGGGTTTGGGAGTAGGTACGTCCCGGTTTTATAAGCTCGCGGACTTCGGTCTCCCGGCGGTATCCTTGACTCAACATGCCTCCCTCCAGTTTTTCCAACGATCGCGATCGCGCCGCGCGCGCGCATCCGTCGAACGAGCGCGGTTAAAAGTCGCGACGATCGCGTGACTCTTTCGCCGGAGTCTCGCCTTCTCCCTTGCTCTCTAAAAGTCAGCCAGTGGATTATCACTGAAAACAGTGAATAGTCACTGATTTGCAGTTATAAGCGTACATATGAAAATCACAGTGGTCTCTTGTAACTGTGAGTCAGTTATTATTCACGATTTTCAGTGAAAATCCACTGATTGACTTTTAGACAGTGGATACCGAACGTTGCCGCTACCCCCGGGGATCGTCGGCGATTTCGGCTCACCTTCCCATCCCGATCTCGTCGTTCGCAACGAGGCTGGAGCTCGGACCCCGCGAGGGCGAAAATAGTACCGGCGTGACATCTTTTCTCTCTTGAGAGTGAATCGGTGGATTATCACTGAAAACAATGAATAGTCACTGATCCGGAGTTAAGGCCTATGTCCACGATGCTTGGACCAAGTTCTAGTTTCGAGAATTATTATGGAATAGCTGCAAGTTGATTGGCCACACATTTCTCGGAACTGAAACTTGGACCAAGTTCTATTAACGTGGACACAGGCCTTCGTAAGTTTACTACTGCGATTTGCAGTTGTATATTTATCACTGTAAATCAGTGACTATCCGCCGTTTTCAGTGGATCCACTAATTGACTTTTGGGCCCGGTTTTTCCAACGTCGTTTAATCTTATTGTTAGTTAGAACCAAGATTAAAGTTAAGCGACGTTCGGAAAAACCAGGTCTTACGAGAGTTCTTTCATTTTGCGTTACAGATAGAATTGCGATCTCTCGCGGGAAGGCAGCCCGCCAATCCGTCGTCGAGATAATCCGAATGATCGACGCGCGAGTGTTTATGAGCTCGTAATTGTGCTCGTTTCGTTAGGTCATCCTTCTCTCCAGGCCTGTGTCCACGATGCTGGAACTTGGTCCAACTTCCAGCATTGTGGACACAGTCCTTCCTTCACACGGCGACGGTGTGAAATAATCCCGCGAACGACCGCCCGTCCATTTCAATCTCGACCGTTCGTATGACCGCGTGTTTCCCCGTGGAGATTCCCGCGGCGGTGGAGATCTTTTTATTGTGGAAAATTAACGATAATGTTTCCCTGGCGTCGTACAGCATTCGCGAGGGTACGTCATCGTGGAAACATTCGGAATGGATTCCGATCGGAATTGGCCAATTATTTCCTAGACTTCCATTGTGTTTTTTAGAGAAAGTGCGTTTTTTCTGCGGAATTAGTCTGATCGGAATCCATCTCGAACTTTTCCACGATAGGTACCCGGGCTTCCCTTTCGCCGCAATTAAACGCGGTCTTCCTCTTATTACTACCACGTCAAACGTCGAACTTGCGACCCTGTCCATTTATCTCTCAGCGGCGCGTATGTAAGACGCCCGAGAAAGAGAGAGTGAGAGAGAGAGGGGGGAGGGAGGGGGAGAGAGAGAGAGAGAGAGAGAGAGAGAGAGAGAGAGAGAGAGACGTTTGCTCTGTGATATCTTAATTCGGAGCAATGTAAAGTATGCTGACGTCAAACACGCGAATTAAACTTGTGATTTTTTTCACGTCTGTCGACTTGTTAAATGGCTCGGTTTCAGCTTGGGGCAGCGAATCGTTCGAATTATTGGCGCTTGTCTATTCTCTCGTCTTTCGTTTATCGAACGATTCGCGGGCCGAAAATTGTCCATTTCTATCTTCCCATTCAGCTTCCGCGTTGCTGATCCATGCGTCATTTATCTATGAAACTGTTATCTGTACTATTACGTATACTGGCGATTACGCGAACGTTCTTCACCTCTTCATCCATCCGTATCTGCTGTTTTGTGGCAAATTCGGGTTAAAAAGATTAGAGCGATTCGCAGGATCGCTGAAGTGATCGACTGGTAGACGCAAATTCGTATATGATATATTTAATTCACATTATCAAGTATTCTCTTTTCAAGAATAGCTCTTGGCATCGAGTAACGCATAGATAACATTTATTAACACAAAGATCAACTTATTAAATGAAAAAGAATCCGGTACGGCACAAAACTTGCTATTTACATTGCAATAACATTGCTACAATATTGCAACATTGCTGTACCCTGGCGAAAATAACAAGCTTTATAAAGCGTTGATAACCGTTAAATGAAGGTTTTTTAAAAGATCATACGCTTTCAAACTTTATGAGAATGCTTACACAATTATGTTTTGAACGCTTTCAGAACGCTTATAAAATACTGTACGAGTATATAACGTTTCATAAAAGTTCTACAATGTTAAGGCAACACTTTTCAGAGAACGATCAGTAAACACTGATACATCTTTGTGCAGAGAGTTTGTTATCAGACTTTTCAAACATTTAGCAAACGTTTTTCCTAACGCCGTAAGACAAACGTTTTTCCTTCATTCAGCAAACGCTCCTCCAATGTGACGAATTATAGAGGTGTAGTGAACGTTTGGTAAAGCATTAACGCAAACTGCTTGAAAATGCCCAAGAAACGCTTTGCCCGACTCCGAAATACAAGTGTTTTTCCTTCGTTCAGTAAACGTTCTTGATACGGCAAATTGTAGGCCGTTTACGCAAATGACTTAGGAATGACAGCCTAAGAAACATTCTTATGAAAGAAGTTTATGAACGTTTTGGTAACATTGTACACACCCCTTGCATTCATGATTTGAAATTATGGCTGCGTTCCGATATTCACTGCCAGTACTGAAAATCTATAGTTTACGTTACGTATACTATACATTTTCAGTACTGGCAGTGAATATCGGAACGCAGCCAATTTTTAGTTACATAGAAGGGGGAAGGGGGTCAATATCTACTTGTCACAAGTTAAATAACACTTTATTTGCATAATCAAATACAAATGTTAAAATGCTTAATATCTTAATCTAATTATTAGCAGAAGAATAAAGTTTATGGATTTAAGATACTTTCTTAAAAAAACTTAACTTGTCTGAGAATAAATTATTCATAACAGTAGTTATAACGCTGACAGCCTTTAAAATTCCTAATTTTCCACGTTCTTTGTATATTAAACTTTAATTATTAATAAATATATGAATTTACTGAAATGTATTTATTTATGTGTAAAAAATAAAAAAATATTTAAAACTCCACATTCCATACCCATCATTTTAAAGCTTTTAGATTAATTATTAATCTCGGTAGCAACCAAAAGGCAGTCCACACACATAGGTATTACAGGGTAAATTCATCACAACACAGCTAGGGTTGTTTGATGAGAGACAGTTTGATGCACAACATTTTATCAATTCTTTTAATTTTGCGGACATATCTCAGAACCACGTAATCGTTTTGAACTAATAAATGTTTGGAACATTTAACCGTTTGCACAAGAAGTAAAATTTCTTTCAATGATGTCATATAGCATTGTATTTTAGTTTTACAATTTTTCCGTCTCTTAAGATGGCATAAGAATCATTATTCTTCTTTTCATTAACATATTGGGAAGAAGTATACCTCATTCCGTGAACAATAACCTATTAAAAAAGATTAAATCCTTGACGCTAAAATTTCCAAAATGGACAAAACACTGAATTGTAAAGCTTGCGAGATTTAGGGGGGAAAAAACAGTCGATACTCCGGAGTATCTTAGATAGTATCTCTAGATACTTTCCGCGGAAAGAATAGAGTTGACGAATGATACACCGATGCACAGTTGCCAAAACGGCTGTCAGTAATCTTTTGCTCGCCCTTCGCGGACCTCCGGTCCTCCCTGGGACGCGGGGTGCCTGACCGGGCGAGGTGTCAACGGCGCGCGGCCCACGTGATTCTCGATCGCGGCGTGCACGTGCGCCGCCGCGCGACAGCTGGCGCGCGCGATCTTCCAAGATGGCGGCGACCGGGCGCCCGTGCCCTTGCGTGTCATTGACAGGCAAAGTTCGGCCCGCCGACAGTTACCGCACGGCCGTCGCGAGCGTACACGTCTCGTCCGGGCTGTCCCCTCGCCGATCGCGGCCAACGGATTAACCTCGACCGTCCGGCGTCTTGTTTCTCATCGTTTCTTCGCTCTGTCGGTTGCAGCACGCCCGCGGACAGCACCGTGCCGAGCATGACAACCGCGACGTCGGTGACGAGCCTGACGGTGAGCAGCCGGGCGTACGAGGGCCAGAAGCCGGGCACCTCGGGCCTGCGGAAGGCCGTCAGGGTCTTCCAGCAGGAGCACTACACGGAGAACTTCGTGCAGGCGATCCTGCACGCCCTGGGCGATCAGCTGACCGGCTGCACCCTCGTCGTCGGCGGCGACGGGCGGTTTTACGGCAGGGAGGCGGTGGCGAAGATCATCCGGATCGCCGCGGCGAACGGGGTAAGGCCGTGTCGAGCATTGTATCGAAGGGATCTGATGACAGAGACCGATGGCCCCCGTTTCTATCGATGCAGATTAACTTTGAGCGTGGCTTAACTTCCTCTTTTCTAGTTTCAGGAATTGGAAAGAGACGAAAGGTAAGTTAAACCGGGGTTAAAGTTACTCTGCACGGGTAGAAATGATTGGCAGCAATTGTAGTTTGGTAGCTTTAACAAGCTCGAAGCCTTGTGTCGGAAAGCAGACGGATTCCTTACTAGCGGCGTGTTACTTTTATTCTCTTGCGAGAGATTATCTACAGATTGCGAGGGAGATATTGTGATGTTGCATTAAAAAGTTTCTTCTCATCCTTTTAGGTAAGAAAGTTAATAGTTGGTCAAAATGGCATTCTCTCGACGCCGGCGGTGTCGACTATAATACGAAAATATAAAACGCAAGGTGGGATCGTCTTGACTGCGTCGCACAATCCCGGTGGCCCCGACGCCGACTTCGGCATTAAATTCAATTGCGACAACGGCGGCCCCGCTCCGGACAACGTGACGAACAGGATCTACGAGATCACCCAGACGCTCCAGTGTTACAAGATTGTCCCCGACATTGGCGTGGATATCGACAAGGTGCAGAGTATCTCCGTCGACGTGGACGGCAGGCCGTTTGCCGTCGACGTAATTGATTCCGTCGACGACTACGTGGAGCTTATGAGGGAGATTTTTGACTTTGCGAGTATTAAAAAGCTGCTGCAAGGCGGCGCGGACCGGCCGGCGTTCAAGGTTCTCATCAATTCGATGAACGGAGGTTAGGCATTGTACAATTTGCACTTGGCCTCTGCCTCTGATATCCGGACCGTTGTAATAGGAGTCCTCGATCATTTTCAGTTACGGGGCCGTACGTGAAGCGAATATTTAGCACCGAATTAGGTGTCGATGACACATGCTTAGTGAATGTGAAGCCGTTAGAAGATTTCGGTGGTCTACACCCCGATCCAAATTTAACTTATGCCAAAGATTTAGTGAATGCTATGAAGGAAGGACCGTACGACTTCGGCGCGGCTTTCGACGGAGACGGAGACAGAAATATGGTGAGCGAGATCGGAAAAGTCGTCTGGAAAATTGGCCCGGACGGGAAATTGTTTCACGAAATTGGTGCCTGCACTTGCAGATCTTAGGCAGGAAAGCTTTCTTCGTCACTCCTTCCGATTCCTTAGCGGTGTTAGCTGCTAATCTAAAATTAATTCCGTATTTCCAAACGACTGGCGTTAGAGGATATGCTAGATCAATGCCAACGGCTGCGGCTGTCGATAGAGTCGCCGCTAAAAATGGGGCGAAATTCTTCGAGGTTCCCACTGGATGGAAGTACTTTGGTACGCGGAGCTTTTCACTTTTGTCGTATTCAAAATTCGTTTCGCACAGTGCCTGTTTTAATATGTCACTTTTACAGGAAATCTCATGGATGCTGCAAATCTGTCGCTATGCGGAGAGGAGAGTTTCGGCACCGGTTCCGATCATATCCGCGAGAAGGATGGAATATGGGCGTGTCTGGCGTGGCTCAATGTAATCGCGGGACTGGGAAAATCTGTGGAAAACATTTTATTGGATCACTGGAAAGTTTATGGGAGAAATTTCTTTACTAGGTATGTATATATTTTTTGGTCATTTTCGAATACGTATTTAAATACCTATTGATCCGAGGTTTCCTAAATTGTCGGATGTATCGTTGATTACAGATACGATTATGAGAATTGCGACTCCGCGTGCGCGGATAAAATGATGCAGAGTATCGAGGCCCTGATTCAGAAGCCAGATTTTATCGGCAGGAAGCTGCAGTGCGAAGGTAAAGAGTATATCGTTAAGCAGGCGGACAATTACTCCTACACGGATCCTGTCGATGGTAGCAAAGCTACGAAACAGGTACGTTCTACGATCGCATGCTACCTGATCTCGTGTCTTCGAGCTAATTACATAACACTTTGTGCATTAGGGATTGCGGATATTGTTTGCGGACGGCTCCCGCATAATATTCCGCTTATCCGGGACGGGAAGTTCTGGTGCCACTATCCGTATGTATATCGATAGTTACGAGGATGATCCGGTTACTTTCGTGAAAGACGCACAACTGGTCTTAAAACCTTTAATTAATATCGCGCTAGAATTAAGCGAACTCCATAAGCATACTGATCGCAACGCGCCTACTGTGATTACGTAAAGAGTTCGCTCGTCGCACGTTCTCGCGCTCTTCCGTCGCGGAACTCGCTTATCTCTCATTCAACATTATCTCTCGTTTGTCCAAGGAGGTTTAACAATGCGAGAATCAGTCTTGGGTATACAAATTCATTTGGATTCTAGAGGTTCGGCCGATTTCATTGTCAAAATCACAGGGCAATAGCATAATAATCGTCACTGGCGCGCCACTGACGGGATTTTCCATTTTTATAAAGCGTTACCGATTTGTGATTCCATCCATATGATATACATACTGTGCGTATTGGACGAGAACTATTCAGTATGCATATCCGAGTAGCAATTGTGGAAGAAACGTTTCAAGATCTATCAGGATCTCTAACTAGATATCTAACGTAGATGTTATTGCTCGCGTCCTCTTTGCGTCTCTCTCCGTTTCAAGTCAATCGTGAGAGGATGCAATTTAAACTTATTTAAATCTTCAACTTTTGAGTGTACGAAAAATATTGATTTTGCCCCCCTCGGACGCGCGCGGCGCGAGCATCGAGAGGCGGCTTCGTCTCTACTGAATAATCAGGGATGATTATTGGGTAGAAATTTTATTGATAATTTATCTATATCGCTCGTACGTTTATATGTATGAGTTTTAATAAGCACTAAAACTGCTTATCGTGTATCGTAATATGAATATATCGGGTAGCGCACGTAGACACTCTACTTGTGCTGCAAAATCATCTTTGGGAAAGTGTTTCGTGACGTAACCATTGTGTTAAACAATGATATTGTTGATATGCAATAATCTATCCACTCGTTACCGCGGCATGTAATAAAAAGAAAAGAAATGCAGTTTACTGTGTCAAATAGAGAATGCGTAGATATTCTTCAGAAGAAGCTGAGCACAAAAAAAGAACCGTCTTGTACTTATCTGTCGTGAAAAATCACGTTGTCCGTACGTTAATCCGGCGATGATGTGCATCCTTTTGCCAATAGCTGACACTAAGATCGATGAGGAAACTTTCATCGTTGTCACATTTATTTCGCAGCCATAAAATTGCAATGACGCATAAATGAATGTCACCACGTGCATTCCGGTATGTAAAAATATAATTTGTAAAAATCACGACTTTGAATGGGAAAAATGGGTACATTGTCAATCTTCCAAAGCTTATGTCTATCCGCGATTTACGTCTGACGTTTGTTCTATAATTTCCATTCGCATTTTCACCCACGAGTTCTACAGTGAAAATACTATCTAATGCTTGATTCGATGCTCTGGAAACATAAGTTTAGTTAAGACGAATAAAGTTTGGACCCGATCCGATTGATACACCGTGGAGAGGGAGAATTATTCGGTTACTCGTTGATAATTTTATTAACCGCGAAATGTCACAGGCATAGAGGGACTGGGATTCACTGTCAGATAGCATAGTATTGGAGGATTAACAAAAGCGTAAATTCGATATTGAAGGACCAGTCTTTCCAACGTTCATCAAATCGACCTTATCGCTCTGTCTGCATTATAGCCGATGCTACTACGATCCAGGCAGATACGTAAGATATTTACTTGTCAAATAAACTACTAAACATTTTGCCCAAGGATGGAACGACTGGCCCTGTGAAGTGAATGTAGCGTAATGGATAATAATAAGCGGCTTTAATTCTTTTCTGCTTTACGAGGTAAACCTTTTATTAACAAATTAAGTCATCTTAATAGCGGATCTCTAAAGGGAGACGTCACTGCGATCCGCAATGTGACGCTACTTTCAAATTTCAACGATGTATTCTCGGAAATCCTTTTTTTCCAACGTCCAGGTTTTGTTATGTGAAAAATGACATTTTTGAGTCTCACGTTGTAGATTTATTTGTATCGGTAAATTTATATTTAAATTGGAGGAGTGGGGAAGGTATAAGTCCTTTTGCACTTCGTCTTGTACAGTAGCATATGTAAAACCGCCTATGTAAAATTTACACTATTTATTGCAAACACGAGCATAATACGAAGAGAATATTAAAATTTAAAGGAAAGGTACATTGAAGTTTTTGTAGATAGTAGTGTACAACTGTAAGAATCTTTTTCGTTTCTATCGGAGCAGTCATCCATTTGTTCTTTCGGAAACTTTCGCACGTTTATCAATACCGCGCTAAGCTGGCCATTTCATTGTGATACGAAACTCCCCTCGCTGCTGCGAATCGCATTTAAACGGCGTATATACAGTTTACCCGCAAACCGCCCTTTTCTCATTCTCGTTACACCATTCCGTTACCATCGTGCGACCTTTCTACAAAAACATACCTTGTTACTTTGCCATCTCGGTTCTGACATTCGAATATCGAAAGAAGCATGGATGCTTAAAGTCGGTGAACTCACCAAAACCTGAGAAATAGCCAGCGGGAGGACCTTGTCACAATTTCTCAGAATTTGTGGGCGACCCCAGATATAGCGATGTAGGTTTGCAAATTCGAGTTTGGCGCGATGCTCAGCGTCTTACAGAGTTTCTCAAGTGAGCAGCATATTCGCGAAACGGCACTGCCGTTTACGGAAATCCGTGTATCTGCGTTTCGTTGCGCGACACGCTTTGTTTCGAGGCCGTGCGCGGGCAACGTAATTCGCTGAGTATCCCGTTAAGATTAATCGATAGAATAGAATACGTTAACGAACTTGTACAAAGACCAGTAGGATGATCAGTGAGGAAAGAATTGAATTTTTCTTTCGGGGAGGGAACAAAAGTCGCGAACAGCCAGTTGGCGCGAAATTCTATAAGTAACAGTATATCTCCACGTAAGAAGAATTGAACAATAGATAGATAATACGAAACACGTTCGATAGGTATTATTGTATCTCGCGAATGTTAATGGACGCCTCGGCTATCGACCATTAATTGACAGCCGCGCAAAGCGTATTATGTTACTTGTTTCCCCTTCGTTACTTTTTCGCTTCGTCTTTGCTTCTTTCTTTTGTACGATATTTCACTGCGGGTATCGAAAGTAATCACGTAAGCGCGTTTTGTGCCGTGGGGCAAAAAAAAACGCGCGATTCACGACTCACGTTTCATTTCGAATCAGAGTAAAAATTTCACCGTGTGGCCCGGCGTGGACGGCACGCCGCGGGGATAGGTAAGAATCCGGAGCAGGAGCGACGTAAACGTTTCCGTTTTTCTTTTCCTTCCGTGAATAAATGCAACGTATTACGGAGAGATTTCGCAAGGCAATTATGTAAATAGTTGACGGTGAAGGAGGGGAAGGAGAAGGAGGAGATACTTAGGGACCTGAGCCGACACACGCCCCCGTTTGATCTGTCGATTACGTTCTAGAAGAGTGCGTGCGGAAGGAAGGAAAGAAGAGAGAGAGAGAGAGAGAGAGAGAGAGGGAGGGAAGTGGATGCTCCGAGTGCTCTCTAGAACGTAATAAAGATTACTTAACGCGGTGGCGATGTCACAGAGACCAGCACAGAGACTGCCGATTACTATAAAGATATTAACATGTAACATTTGTATCATAATCATAATAAATACTAATTATCATTATAAGTATATGAATGAGTGGCTGCTCGGAATGCACGTGGTAATAATTCACCGCTCTGCTCCATGCGTTTTACCTTCGTCGTTCCAATCGACGCTGCGTTTCCCAAATGCCGATTCCGACCAAGGACCTGACGTATTAATAAACTCCAAGACACGCGTTCCGTTCATCAATGTTGATCTAATCTCCGTGGTGTCAGCGAATTGTGTAAAGATGCATATTATCGTACCCTTGCTCTTTTTTTCGGCGGTCTAGCGCCAGATGCGACCATCCTGATCTTCAATTCTCGCGTGCACCTTAAATGCGATCTTCGGTATTGCAAGCAGAAACTGAACACCGAAACACGAAGACTAAATAGCGAAGGTATATTGTAAATCTGATTTCCATCTTGGTTGTGTCATACGAAAAATACCGATGTGCATAGCCGGTCGTTTTTAAACCGTTTGCGAACGCCGGTTGTGAATAAAACTCAAGGGTCGGATGTGTCGCATCTACGTTGAACCGACGTAGCGAAGATCCCTACGCATTTGCGATTACGCGAACGCGCCCTTACGTTAAGGCGATTATTATGTTCAAGTGATTCGTACAAAGTGGTGACGACTAATCCGACTTTTAATAAAGTTTATCTCATTACAACGAATCCGTGTGTACCTAATTTATTTTGCGATAAAGCGTGCGTGTACTCGTATCTTTTGTAAGAATCCCGATAACGAGAAGAAAACGACTTCTTTACACACGTAACAATCCAGAAGAAACCAATAGTTACATAACATTAGTAATTACAATTTACCACTCAACAATATAAGTATAATGTTGTTTAAGTAGAAAATTATAATATTGATGTTACCCAATCGTTACTTGATGTTTGCTAAGAAAGAAAACCTTTTTAGAACCAAAAATGCTGTTTAAAGCAACAATCCTTAAGAAATGTCTATGTGCAATTAATGTGTCTATGAACAAAAAATGAAGAATATTTAGTTCTTTTTATTGAATAACAATGGCTCGTATGATAAAATCAAAGAATAATAGAAGGGTCTCAGAGCCTGAACGAGATTGTAATGTCCGATAAAGTTACTTTATTTTAATAGCAAATGTATATATACGTTTCGGTCCTTATCTTCAGTATAATAAAAAAGTAATAAATACAATTAAATACATATATCGACTCGCGAATTAAAAATAGACGTAGAATACGCAGTCAGTGATACAAAATTGTAATAAATTAAGAGACGGTAGTACAAAACAAACGGCGCAAGTGAATATAACATGATGAGCCAGTAAGTAAAAACTAACAGTCAAGCAACGGTAAGAAATAAATTAATTGACAATCAAGAAACTATAAATTGATAACTTGGGGATCTCTTAAGGTTGCCAGTGATAATAAATATAGTAAATTTTAGTCGACCTTATCTGGCATGTGTTTAATGTATTTTTTTTTAAATTGGGATATACAGGCGACGTTTTGTTTTATAAAATCCACGTGGACAAACCAGAATTATATTATGTGCATTTTATTTATACAACTATTATATCAAACATACTCTACATATAGTGTTCAAATTTTATTGTATTTTAGTAACGGCTTGAGAAGGACCAGAACCGATGGTCGAAACGTCGCCTGTATATCCCAATTAAAAAAAAAAAAAACATTAAACACATCCCAGATAAGGTCGACTAAAATTTATTATATAAATTGATAAGTTAGTGCCAAATAGAGGAGGAAGAGAAGAGAGGTACTTACATTGGAGCCGTGTTGGACTATGTGGATGACGATACGATCCTTCTTTTTATTAGTAGATTTATACATATATATATTGCTAGACAAATAAATATATATTTGTTTTATAAAAATACGTACAATTTTACGAGTAAAGCAGTCGACCTGTAGATTATACTATGTCAAAGTCGTCTCTCTGCAAGACAAAAATATATATTATTAATATACACTTACGAAGCTGTGTATTACAATGACGTACAGTAAAGGCTGACAGCGGTTTCTCACCTCGTTGTTGTACTCCAGTACGTGTTTCTTGATAGCGGACGTGTCCACCCACGTCACAAAGTCCTCCAAATTTCTGCAAGACACAATTGACACCCGTTCACACTCGGTTCTCCAAACTATGCGCGCGATGCGAGCGGCAAATAATTGCGAAGCGCGTTACCTCGTCACCAAGAACGCGGGGTCTTTTACGACCTCCACGCCGACACGGACGTGGCCCTGCTCTATCAATTTCGTCGCCATCGATATCGTCTGGCTCATCTTGCTGCGCACCATAACGACCGGCAGCCGCCGTCTGCAGAAGCAGCTGGCGGTCACCTTCTGGGTCTGCGACAAGTCCCACTTGGTCGAGATCAGGCCCATCATGTACAGCTTCTCCAGCAGCAGCGCGCTCTGCTCGATGCGGAAAGGATCGTCGGGCTCGAGCTCCTTGATCTTCTTACCCAGCTCGCGTATGTCGCGCGACAGTTTGTTGTAGCTGCAATCATTTCGACAGGTGCCAACCTACTTTGCCTGTTTATTTGAGTGATATATTTTGCTCATTGCAAAGTATATTCGTATTTTATCAATGCAGGAAAGTCCTCTGTTGGACGGCAGGCTCCTAATATGAGACAGCGGGGTTTCTACTAAATTAACAAGGCGCAGTCCGTCGGTTCCGTTGCGAGTTCACTCTTGGAATGGGATCTGTTTGGTGGAAAATTCATCGTTGGACGCCGCGTTGTCGCCGCAAAAGAAGATCGTGATTGAATTTGGACGTTGAGAGCCTGCTGTCTCATATTAGGAGCCTATCTCGTAGCGGGGGACTTTCCTCCACTTGGCACAGCTTGTACCGCGAATTTTCGGTAAGCGACATTTTTACATCGCATGTAAACAAGTAAACAACTTAACAGATCCCACGTACACCGTGTAGTCCGATCTCCTCTGGATGCAGTAACGCTTCAGGACCTTAACCTCGTGGAGATTGTTGTCGGCCTGCCACGACAGGAAGTCCACCTTCTTCAGCAGCTTCTGCTCGTGGTACTTGAGCTTCCGCACCATCGCGACCGATCGCCGTGGCGGCCTCCACGCGGAACAACGTTAATTCTACCCGAAGGCGATCTCTGGAGATCTCCGCGGCGCTTGTCGCGGCTTTGTTTTCGATCTGTCTCTCTCCCCGCCCGAAAACACGTGGAGCCGGAGTCGCGGCGTTCCCAGCTGACCTGGATAACTCGGGGAAGAAGCCGCGCGCATGCGCGGCCGACTTTACACGAGCCCGCTCCGCGGACGCGATCCATAATTCTGGGCCCGCCGTTTGCAATATAATTTCATATATGCTGTCCACTTTGACGTATATATGTACACGTGTTGCATGTATTAACGCATAATCTCCCCCTCCTGTTTCTCGCCGAGGTCAAGATTGAGGAGACAGAGAGAGAGAGAGGAGGCGAAGCATCCTCAAGATTTCCTCTCCTTCCGTAGCGCGGGCGCGCGAAGTGCGCGAACCAGCGCGAACGGCACTCGCTGCACTCAGTGTTCCCAGCCGTGAACGTTAGCACGGACGGTGCCGCGGCGGTGGGGATGGAGTGGGGATAGTCGGTCTGCGCGCGCACGCTCGCACACAAGCAACACGTCGTAGCCAAGCGTCGAGCGCACACGTTTTTACGACGTGT